ACAACCAAAACATTGTATATACCTGTGTTTCTTTGTGTTGTGGTTCAATTTTAATACCGAAATATTATATAGAATGGATCGAAAGACATACCTGTTCATGGCAAATACCCATGTAAATCGCATGTAAACATTCCCGCCCTGCGCTTTTGGTAAATATAATGGTAAATGGCTAATTTGGATGTAAGGGAGGTAACTGTCGATAAATACGTCTCTAGCTCACACTAAGTGTGCTTGATTTATATGTTATATATAAATAATAACTTTGTATTGAGATGTGCTATGTTTCTTTATAGATCGAGTAATGTTAAAACACACAGTAAAAGGGTTCAGATTGAAAAATCAACCCTATGTGGTTATTGTAGCAAAAATAAAGAAAAAATGCACCCGTTAACCTTTGACCTAAATTTTTTAGCCTTATTTCAGCATTTAAAAGGCGACAGCCGGTCTGAATGATCCACCTAGATATCATACAAGACATTGGTGGTAAAAGTTTTGCATTAACAAATTTTGCCAACAGAACCATTTTCCAGGCCTCTTTTCTGAGATCTGAGGCAGACTATCATAAGCTCGAGGTCATTACGATTTTCGCTGTTGAGGAAGTTTCGCTCTGTCGATTAAATCGTGTTTACAAATGAAGTCTACTTACTCTGTGAAAATAATGTTTTGTAAAATATCAAGATACCTATAAAACGCATGTGTGAATGCACATGAGAACGGCATACCATGCGATATATGTACCTGACATGTAATTATAAACATACTGTGAGTTAGCGGACTGTGGAATGATGTCCAAAGTGTACATGACTGAGGGTAATTTGGTTCCATTAAAGAACAATAAATTGATAATTTTGATATCATATTTTTGATTTATTTCCATCATTTTTGTTATATGTAAACAGGGACAACTGTCATTGTGTAAATGTCACCCCTCTGCAAAAAGTTCCGATTTTTTTCAAGGAAGATAACTCTTACCCGGATCGAAGTGATTGTAAAATGTAAAATAAATTAATTATAAAGCCATTGTGTATATTTTGTTCAATTTCCCATTCTATATGTATAGATCTTTGTGTCCTGTTGGCTTTTAGCTTGTAGATAATCACTTTTATCCGTTCAAATTCAATAAAAAACACTTTGTGTAACATGTGTTACATATTTTGCGATAAATAAAATATTTGTAGGGTTAATTAGAAATGCTTCTTTTCATTTTATTATTGTTGTTATTGTTCCGAACAATGTCACACCCAAAAAAACCCCGGAAAATATTAAAATTGACGAAAATTCAATTTTTTGGTATTTTTTCCAAAAAAGTCCCCTAACTATCGGAGTGTTTAGATTTTCATAAAATCAACTCTACATAGTTGCATAACCATTATATGAAAGTTTCAACGAATTTCGCTGGTTAATTACGAAAGTGTGGAGCCACCTTAAAGAAAATGCATCAATAGCTCATTGAAAATTAAGAACGATTATGATGTAATGAAATTACAAAAAAAAATAAAAAAAAAATAGCACACATTTTTATATGACGGAAAACCTCTAAACACACAGTATCCGCTACATATGACGTCAATGTCAGGGAGGTCAAACGTCTTGACTTCAAGATACCCTTTATCAAATCTGAATATAGCGCAGATTCTTGCTAAGCTTTGTAGTCGACCACTTAAACAAATCATTAGCTAGACTCACTTTGTCATATGTTGGACGCTATATATCAGCATTGTGACCATCATTGCTTTTAGTCTCTCATATGTAACAAAGTTCGTGTTTTGTCAAGAAAACAACAAGGGAAATGTTAAAAATCCATAACTCGAACTCAAAATCAATAAACTAGGACAAACAATAAACAAAGGAAAGATTTTCATTGGGAGCATAGATAGTCATATCATTCTGATACGTTCTTCAAATACACAATTTCAGCCATTACTTGTGAAATGCTTTCATCATTCCACTTTACTATATGTCTTTATATACATAATACGAGGACGATTCATTTCGGACAAAATATTTTTACAATGATGAATAGTAAATTGAAATCTTGATTTAAGTGACTAAGTACCTATACCACACGGCGTTTGACACTTTCTGGTAAAATCAGATACTGAAAAGTCATATTTTGTGGATTGTGTGTGTTGGGAATACCTTTATGTCATATCAATATACCTAAACATATTTCGCACGACCAACGTCTGAACTAATCTAATCCTATTTGATATTTGATACAAGTTTTCCCACTGCTTATATCACACAGTCACGAACCCAGACTTTACATTTACATGAACCCTACAAGCTGTATGTTACGGTAATTGACAGTTAATGGTCGTCACCTTCTCAGTATAGTTTGGTTATTAGGTGGTCACTGCTGATACACTGAAGGTAAAATGTCAAGATACCAAATGACAAATCCGTAGTAATTATAAAATAAGTTATGAAGGTTAAATGAGATATTAGTAGTCCTTGATTTTCTTGTTATTAACAGAAAAAAACCCATTATTACTATAACTAAATGTGAAAGGTAAGGATTGGGCAAACATTGTATCTCACAATAAAAACAAATGGACTGGAAGTCGTATACAGTATGCCAATTAGAATACAAGTGCAAAGAGATACTGTAAATCACCAAATTCGAAACTGAGACTAGTAATCATGTCTGTCTGACTTTAAAGGGTTTCCTGGTGCAATTTTCCGAAAATGTTTTAATGAATACATTGTGTAAGTCCCAACTATTTTATATAGTGTGTTGACATGGTTGTTTATTTTTTTACTTTCTTTCTTTTACCAGAATAACGAAGAGTCCAATAATGAAAATAAAGAATATAAACGGAAACGACGAAGGAGGTCTGAGAGGAGGAAACAGGTGCTGTTTGATCTACACCAGTTTGCCCAGAAATCATTTACCTTTCAATGTTTTTATAGTCCATGTATTTATTTTGTTTTTCACTCTTACCCCTCTGTGGTGATACAATGGTGTACTTGTTTTAATTTGTTTTACACAAGACATTTTCATGACCAGAAGTCACTATATCAACACTGATCGCATTCCCGTTTAAAAGATTAAAATTGCTCAAAAAGGGATTTCTAAGCAAAACAATTGTATTAACATTGCACACATTTCATCAAGTCTTATATTGACTAGTAGATATTAAAGAACAAAACTTATAGAAAAACTAATATAACATAGAGCTGAACCCTGTCTGTGTACGGTCCTGGTGCGGTTTGGGTACGTTAATGTAAATAAATAAGTTAATTGTATTTAAATGGCTGTAAATGTAGGTGTTGTTGGTGTGTAATAAAGGCAGTAGATATTCATCACTCCGGGGTAGGGTATGGTATAATAGCAGTCTGTGTTACAGTCAGGTCACAAATAAGTTAAGTATTGCCCCACTGCGTTCAGAACCACAACTTACCACTAATGGTTTTATTTGTTTTCGCAAGGACTGGTTAAATATTAAACAATGAATTATCAAGGTACCTAAACCATGCTCGTGTTAATTGACGAATTGAAACTCTGCTAATTGATTTAGTAAACAACATTTAATTTCTCGTATTTCCCTTGATACTACGTGGATGAGAGCTGAAACGATTTATTCATATTTACCCCGTTTGATATGTATTCCTGTCTTAAACTTAATATACTTGTACTCAATCGCTAATGAAGTTATATTCACTGGTCTGCATTATTTATTTCCATGATGCTTATACACAATACAATACAATTTTTGATTTGCATATTACATATATATTTTTATTTCATTATACACTCATTTGTCAGCTAATACAAGAATGCACAGATACATATTTTGCACTATATATGAACCCTATATGTATCCATGATTATAAACTAAAATAAGTCATTATCTTAATGTCCAGTCGCTTTGCGCTATATAAGTCATACCATATTATTTATCTTAACAAACGTTTCGAATAAAAAAGATACGATATTATGATTACTTATTAAATATTATGGCTTTACTGTACTCTATATTAATAAAAAAAATGTTGTCTTTCTCTCTCTCTGCTATACTGCTATCCGTGCACTAGTCATCGAACGGGTCCGAGGAGAATCGGAACGAGGATTTTCCTGAGAAGCACACAATTGACGTAGAGGAATTGAGGAAGAGGGTAAGTTGTTTCTCTTCTGAGATAATATCAGTACGAGAAGGAATTGGTATATCTATCCATTGGTATATCTATGAATATACGAGTTAAGAGTGTCTCTTTGGTGTTTTGGTGTCTCTTTGGTGTTTTGACGTCGCCTTGGTTCCTTGGTGTTTTTTTTTATACTTATCGACTTTTGGTTATATAACCGTGTATTTGTAATATTCACAGTTAAAAGACAATGAAATTTTATCCGTTGTATCGATCCTTGTACATTTAACCGCAAATTACTGGACTCGAATTCCATCATTTTAAAAATAATCTATTGATTTGCCATTTTCTCCGTCAACTGTAAGTTCAAATCTGGACTACAACCTATGCATATGTTATAAAGGTATTCTCAGACTACGTGTGCTCGACGGGCATTCTGACCGTTAGCTGCGATACATGTTTGTAGTTAAACATTTAAGTACGGCTATTTGAACAGAGGCATCAATTATAAAGGGTCTTTTATGTACCAATTTGTGTAGAAAGCTATTCAAAATAAAGGATTTAAGATTCATAATACACACGAAACTATTAAAGCAAACCCATAAAATTAAATGTTTGTAATATATACAAATACCTTTCCTGTGAGTAAGATCAGGTTTGGAAATTTATAAACTCTAACATTGTAGCTTAAAGTCATACCTTAACCCTAACACTGAAGCCTTGAGTGATACCAAAACCCTAATACTGAAACATTAAGTCATACCCAAACCCTAACACTGAAACCTAAAGTCATAACTAAACCCTAACACTGAAACCTAAAGTCATAACTAAACTCTAACACTGAAACCTAAAGTCATACCTTAACCATAACACTGAAGCCGACTAAAGTCATACTCAAACCCTAACACTGAAGCCTTGAGTGATACCAAAACCCTAACACTGAAACATTAAGTCATACCCAAACCCTAACACTGAAACCTAAAGTCATAACTAAACCCTAACACTGAAACCTGAAGTCATACCTTAACCGTAACACTGAAGCCGACTAAAGTCATACCCGAACCCTAACACTGAAGCATTGAGTGATACCAAAACCCTAATACTGAAACATTAAGTCATACCCAAACCCTAACACTGAAACCTAAAGTCATAACTAAACCCTAACACTGAAACCTGAAGTCATACCTTAACCGTAACACTGAAGCCGACTAAAGTCATACCTTAACCCTAACACTGAAACCTGAAGTCATACCCAAACCCTAACACTGAAACCTGAAGTCATACCGAAACCCTAACACTGTAACCTTAAGTCATACCCAAACCCTAACACTGAAACCTAAAGTCATACCCAAACCCTAACACTGAAACCTAAAGTCATAACTAAACCCTAACACTGAAACCTAAAGTCATACCTTAACCGTAACACTGAAACCTAAAGTCATACCTAAACTCTAACACTGAAACCTAAAGTCATACCCAAACCCTAACCCTGAAACCTGAAGTCATACCCAAACCCTAACACTGAAACCTTGAGTCATACCTAAACCCATACCACAGAAACCTAAAGTCATACCTAAACTCTAACACTGAAACCTAAAACCTAAACCCTACACAAACCCTAACATGTAGACCTACAATCATATACAAACCCTAACATTTAGACCTACAATCATACACAAACCCTAACATTTAGACCTACAATCATACACAAACCCTAACATTCAGACCTCCAATCATACACAAACCCTTACATTTAGACCTACAACCATACACAAACCCTGACATGTAGACCTACAATCATACACAAACCCTAACATTTAGACCTACAATCATACACAAACCCTAACATTTAGACCTACAATCATACACAAACCCTAACATGTATACCTACAATCATACACAAATCCTGACATGTAGACCTACAATCATACACACACCCTTACATTTAGACCTACAATCATACACAAACCCTAACATGTAGACCTACAATCATACACAAACCCTAACATGTAGACCTACAATCATACACAAACCCTAATATTTAGACCTATAATCATACACAAACCCTAACATGTAGACCTACAATCATACACAAACCCTGACATGTAGACCTACAATCATACACAAACCCTTACAGTTAGACCTACAATCATACACGAACCCTGACATGTAGACCTACAAGCATACACAAACCCTAACATTTAGACCTACATTCATACACAAATCCTAACATTTAGACCTACAATCACACACAAACCCTGACATTTAGACCTACAATCATACACAAACCCTGACATGTAGACCTACAATCATACACAAACCCTGACATGTAGACCTACAATCATACACATACCCTGACATTTGAAGAGGAATTAGACAGGATCGTTTAAGTCCTAATATAGTTAATATCTGTGTTGACGATCTTCCTGATTTCGTCATTAATTATCTTTTAGAGTAAGTCAGTTTACTCAGTAATCAGCTTTTGCTCTCTTGCTTTTTAAAATATATATAGAGGTATTGTACGGAATCAAATCTTCAATTACAATAAACAAAAATATATATTGTTTTACAAGTTAATGGAATGAACAATGACTATACACATGCTTAAACCTTAACTCTGGCCCTTAACAATAATTATGTTATACCTAATAATCAGATGAACATGATGTCCATCTGATTATTGAGTATTACATAATTATTGTTAAGTGCCAGAGTTAAGGTTTAATCGAACAAAAGACTTTAGGTATTGTTCAAAATCAATAAATACTCTCGAGATTCTGAATGGAAAAAATGAAATATTATACATTCTCCATTTGCCTGAAGCAGTGAGCTAGTCACTATTCGGTTTTATCTTTCATTAAATTAAAATCCTGTTGTTGTTTTCCTAAAATATCGTTAACCAATAAATCATTTAATCCTGATGTCAAACCAAACTTTTACTAAACACTATCTTATACGACAATGACGAGTAAAGCTGGTACACTTCAGTACGCGATGCTGCAAAAACCCTTAACTCATTGATTTTGAAGTTACTTTAATAATCAACACATCTTTTTAGATTCATTATTCTCTAAGCAGATACATCCTTTTTTAATAAAAAGTAAAGACATGCATATCGTCCAGAATCTTCCTTAAACACTAAACAGTAACATTCGTAGATACCACTTTAGACTACAGAATGATGGGAAAAGGTTTATAGCAGCATTACAATACTCGAAGATTTTTTCAATAAATATGGGAATGAATAAAGTGAAAAGAAATTAACGATTACATATCACACTCTGACAGTATCTCTGTAATTCTTTCCTCTAACAATCGGAATATATAAAACCATAAAATAATGATAGCATACCAGACTGACAATTTGACGGCCATTCTGTCATCTGACTGTCTATACTTTAGCCTTGCCTATTCATACACCAGTCACTTGAACTTAGTAGGGCTGCCTTGTAATTGCTATAAGCCATTTTTATAGACATTTCTTGCCATTTTTATGCTGTTCGATACTTATATTTATCATTTTTGAAATCTGTTCATCTCATAAAAAAATAAATTACACTTACTATTATTCAGCATTTAGTGGTATCCAACGTAACAATTATGACGTCATAATAATGATGACGTCAACAATCTGTCAATGGCATGCATAGCCTATATGAATGCAAAACTGAATTTGGTAGGATTATATAGTGGCAATGCCATACGATGGTAAATATACTTCAATGAAGAAGGTGTTACAAGCACACATACATATATATGTCGTATTAATATTACACTAGGTAGTTTTCTAATGTTCCTTTGTTAGGTTTTATGTTGTTTGATAACACATGTATACGATTATGTATCAGATCTCCGAAGATCCGGAACAAGGCACAGACAACAATGGCCCCCAAGAGGAAAAATCAGCCATTGCTAGGCTCCGGCGGCGGGAGAAAAGGGTGAGCATACCCTTTAAACAAAAACAAAAGAATCAGTCTACCCCTCTAAGACAGTCGGCCGTTACACAGGACCTTTTATACGATAAAAATGAAATATATTTCTGTCCATTTAAGTCAGGTATTAGGAATAATAGAGTCCGTGTTAATAGACAGTCTGTGTTCATATAAACGATGAGCATCATAATACGCTAGTTATTGATGAGTTTCTATATGGATGTATGCATATTTTATGATCTATTTTCTGTCCTGTAGTGATATAAATGTAAATTCTGATTCTGACTAGTGTCACGGTCAGGTGTTTAAGGCGCCACGAACTTCAAGGATAATTCTCAGCTTTAAGACAATATTCAGCGTTAGGGTAACTCAAAGTGGGCTACTACATAAATTCATTATTTTAAATTCAAATTATTTTCAAGTACCTTAGATCATTTAGGACTTAGGCCATGCACCATTTGCCAAGGCCGAGTCAGTGAGGACACACACGTTAGCATTAACGTAGGTAAGAGGTCGGCTGTCACCAACAGGACTTTTAAATTGCCTTTAAGCATGTACTTGGTGTATAACACTGTACATTGTATATATATACATTGTAGTACCATGTTTAAATAGCTCTACACTTAACCCAGTACTGTAATCGTTACTTGATATAATACGTATAATCGTCAGGCCTGTCTGGACGTTCCGTAAGCACCTTATTCGGTATTAACATATGAATGGATATTGCTAACTGTTACGACTCAAATAGAGAGAGAGTTGTAATACTCTTTTCACCTGACTGAATAACTGTGTCGAGAATCGAAAAAGATATCTTATTGGAGCCTTAACATAGAAATGCATATAGTTAAATGCTGCGACCCGAAGAGAAAGTTTCACATGACTGAATAAGCATACGATAATTTGAAAATGATATATCAACAGTCCCGCTAGTCTCTGGGGCCAGTCTCTGGGAAACAAATGAGAAATATAACGATATTAGTCAACTTGTAATATAAAAGTTAGAAATCATACAATTTGTTTTTATGGCAGACGAGTCGTGCGTTCGACACCTTGTCAGAATGTCGGAAGATGTTCCGCCAAGAGATGGCGCTGCTAGGAAAGGAGGTAGAGCAGTTCCGAACCATATGTCAAAACCAGGTAAGTAGACGGGGAGGGTGGTAAAGGTTTTCTGTATGTAATAAACTTGCCAATGAATTCATTTTTATTAAGAAGAAACTCGTGTGACAGGGGTCTATACTTACACCGTAACTATTTATTATCAGCTAAAACTTGACTACTAGGCCCATATTCACGAAACCGTTTTCATGCTCAAACTCAGATTTAGTGCACAATTCCGTTTTTTTGTTCCGGTGATGAATTATTTAAAATTATCTTTTTATCAGTTATTTGGGAAACAAATTGAGGGACTTAATGCTGAATACCGTTTTCAATGTTTAACTTGACTTTTTATAAAAAAAAAATAGCGAGTAACAAGTTTGATCATACAGAAACCATATTTGAGCATGATAACAGTTTTATGGTGAAAGTCTCAAAAGTAGTTCACATATGACTAAGATGATGATCACGTGTCGTTTATAGTATATATATTTTCTCTCTGAAATCGAACGCGAAACATGCTCACTCGGTCATATTTTGACTTTGAACTCATGTACGCGAGTTTATACACTTTAAACAGTACAAAGCAACTAAATGCAGATTGTCCTATGTTTAAAGCTAGAAGTAGTTAGACAAATTCTTGTTAATTAAAATAAACCAGTCAAACAAGATGTTAATCGACTCAGTTTAACGCTTAACCTGCAGTATTGTTATTTCCTTTTTCCCCAAAAGTGGAATGTTCTACAATTGGTTTTTTGGATCCTTACATTATTTTCTTCACTCTTGAACAATCAATTAATGAACCCGCCATATATAGGTTGTATAAGATTGGTTAGTATGGTGTAGTTAAGTCGTAGACGTGCTTGATGTAGCTAAACAATACAGGACCTGAGCTATTCATGTGATACCTGGGAAATTGAACATTGAAAATAATTATAAATCTTAATTACCATGTATACCCTAAGTTAGAATGTAAGAATGTATCAAAAATGACAATGACAATGAAATTAAAAAAAAAAAAAAAAATAAATAAAAATGAATGCATCTGTATAATATGGTATTAAGTCTGGGATAATCATACAGTAGTACAGTACATACTCTATTCATAAGATATGAGATGCAATAGGATTAGCAATCACCGAGCTTTGAATTCCTACATTCACAAATAGACAATAGGTTAACTCTTCGGTCAGAGCTTTACGGCGAAAATGAATAAATGCTTTATATTTTGTAATAAATTGAACATCGTTGAGTTCAAACCCCTCAACTCCAACACCGTCTATCAGTCTGAGGAAGGTTGTAGGAGCCTTCATAGAAAGCATGTCCAGTGATCAAAGATGCTTAAAGATTGCCCTAGATTTCCTACACAACATCGGGAACAAACATTAAAAAGTTTCTGATGAAGTTAGACCTTAGATGTTATGAATACTTTATAATGTTTCCTCAGACAGATATCTGATTACCTAGAGGACTCCAAAATCAATACCCAAGATTTGATTGTCCACGAAACGGTAAAACATTTCCAAATCACATCAAAAGAGTCTTTGCATTATTCACTATTATACAGTATAATACATAGCTGTAGCACACCTGATGTTAATCATCGACTTTGATGTTGAGGTCGACAGTTATAGTCCTGAATTATTTACCGCTGTTGCTATGCACTTACCAGACTGTTAGATACCAGCGGTCGCTTATTGCGTTTGGAAGGACATTATCAGTTATGGGACAATAATAACACGGTTCTACTTCTGGGAGTAAGCTTTCGAAATAGGGTACGATCGCCTTTTGAAGACATTTTCAATCGATGTGATAAAACTGAGTATTCGGAGAAACTTTGGTTAGATATCAAGGTGGAAGTCAAAAGAAAAAATCTGTTCAAAAAGTTTGAGTGGTGATTTTAGGGGACATACGATTTCAATAACAGTACTAATAGTAACACAAATAAGGATAGGTGAAGATCATGGACATCTAATATACATTTTCTTTCAAGTAAAGGGTACCACTGCGTCAGTTATAAACGTGAAGAAGAGTTCGATTAAGAGTGTTATCTTTCTTTTTAATTTTACTCCCTTCTCTATAGAAGAAGAAACAAAAGGAGTTTATTTCTAGTTAAGAGTAGCTTCCCCTGTTAATTCATGTTATATTTCAATACTCATTGTTCGATAGGCTTTGCAGTCAATAAATTGGAAACTTGTTTTTATGCATTTAATTTATATTTCCATTTTCATAGATACAAATTTCGAACAACTATAATTCTATTAAAAGCTTCGCAACATATCATTTTTATGGAATAATTCTTTTGAAAAAAGTTGTTGAAAAATGATAATAATATGATAAAGCTTGCTGGCTTTCTTTATCATAATTCAATAAAAAATGTCAAATTTAGTATAAATAAAAGTGTGCAAGCCATTATTTTATTGCTTATTTATATTTTACTTATCTTTATGGATAAAAAAAGTGCTTACTACCGCCATTTCATGTTATTAATAAGCGAAACAGATAACGTTCTAAAGTAGGTTATTTTCCCATTTGTTTTAACTTTTGTGACATAACAATCCGCAAAAATATTCAAGATTAGAAGATAAAACCGTTGCGGTTAATATAAAACCAAATTTGCAATAAAAAAGCCGGTTCTGTCGGAACGTCATCAAATCCTTTTTAGATACGATGTATTCCCTAAATTAATGTAGCGAATTACTTTTGTACAAAAATAGATTTAACGTACATAACTTTACTTAAATACTATAGACACGTAATTTCGTAAATTGTTTACTAAATTATTACTTTGTATACATGGTTGAAAAAAGGTAACGGTCGTTTGAATAATATTTCATAAAACCGGAAGCTTTCGAAAGCCTTCAATACTATTGAGAATGAGAAACGCGTTTTTCTCCAAATAACCTTTAAACCAACATGCTAGATAAGACTTTCATACAAAAATATATAACTATAAATCAATATATTGAGAGATAACATTTCAGACTCTGACAATCTGGATGTCATTCTGTCCCCTGACGGTCCTAAGATTATAATTCAGACTTATCGATTCATTAAACAGCAGTGTTGTTTTTAGATTGTATATACCTGCATTCTTTCGGGCAGTGTTATTGATAAATTTCACATGACAGTGACTCCAAAGTGCTATCATTTGTCTTGTACAATAGCAATTCCGGGCATTGCAACGTTTTATATTGTGCACAACAGTAACTTCGGACAGTGCCTTTTAATAATGTAAATAACTGAGGTTTCAAGCCACAGTACTTTTTTTTATTCTGTAAACAAATGTGATTTCGGGCATTGCTATTTTTATACTGTATGCAAACAGAAATGTTCGATATTTTAAGATTTTATGTCTATTTTGTTAATGATGATTGATGAATTCTTATAGTCCAAAAAGTGTATAATATTTAATTATCACCCAATGAAATCGACTAAAGCAAGATTCAATCCTTATATTTCACACAACGCGTTTTTTTCAATAATTGGAACTTGTGAAATCTATTCTGATTGTTTGTCCAGTGTCCTGGAGCTTGTGCAAGGTCACGTATTGACGTAATTTAAATAATTTGAAGGACTATCATGCAACATGATTGTGTACGTTGATAGCTCAATACAGCCAAGTTATGTAGAAACAAAACACAAAACCATATTTTAAATGTCATATCTAAATTTTACTGGTGAATTCCTAAGATATCAAATTAAAAAAGAAATCGAGTCTACGGCAGCCATCTTTTTATAAGCTTGAAGTGGAGAGCCCCTTAATGTTGAGGTTCTACATCTTCTGGAATGTGAAGCTGCAGTTATTGAATGCCGAATTACACAGGAAAACAGACGTGACTTGAAAGGACGAAACATTTAATATGACATTTGACTGTTCGACTGTATTTCATTATAAAACCTGCAGGACCACATGGATCTACAACAGGAGTTCGTTACAAATGTTGAAATACACATATGATATACTGATATGGGTCACAGTACACATACACATACATGTATACACATATGATATACTGATATGGGTCACAGTACACATAAACATACATTTATACACATATGATATACTGATATGGGTCGCAGCAGACATAAACATATATTTATACACATATGATATACTGATATGGGTCACAGTACACATACACCTACATGTATACACATATGATATACTGATATGGGTCGCAGCAGACATAAACATACATTTATACACATATGATATACTGATATGGGTCACAGTACAAATACACATACATGTATACACATATGATATACTGATATGGGTCACAGCAAAGAAAAACATACATGTATACACATATGATATACTGATATGGGTCGCAGCACACATAAACATACATTTATACGCATATGATATACTGATATGGGTCACAGCAAAGAAAAACATACATTTATACACATATGATACACTGATATGGGTCACAGCACACATACACATACATGTATACACATATGATATACTGATATTGGTCTCAGTACACATAAACATACATTTATACACATATGATATACTGATATGGGTCGCAGCACACATAAATGTATGTTTATGTGTACTGTTACCCATATCAGTATATCAGATGTGTATAAATGTATGTTTTTCTGTGCTGTGACCCATATCAGTGTATCATATGTGTATACATGTATGTGTACTTTGACTCATATCAGTATATCATATGTGCATAAATGTATGTTTATGTGTGCTGTGACTGATATACTGATATGGGTCAAAGTACACATACACATACATGTATACACATATGATATACTGATATGGGTCAAAGTACACATACATGTATACACATATGATATACTGATATGGGTCGCAGCACACATAAACATACACTTATACACATATGATATACTGATATGGGTCATAGCACACATAAACATCCATTTATACACATATAATATGCTGATATGGGTCACATCACACATAAACATCCATTTATACACATATGATATACTGATATGGGTCACAGCACACATAAACATACTACATTTATATGTTTGTTTATGTGTGCTGTGACCCATATCAGTTATAGCATGATATGTGTATTTCAGACATTTGTAACGAACCCCTGTGAATCAATGTTTTCGGTTTGTACCGTGGGTTGCCTACTTTCACAAGGCAGAACGGGTAGCTGGAGGGATAATTTTTAGGGCAGTACAAGACTTGTCACTACTGCTAGCAACCATGAGCTGATAATATTTCGTTCATTGATCGTTTTTGGTTGTTTGAACGATTTCTTGTGTTGCTTAAATAAAAATGTGAAATCTCAAGTGTTATCTTTGTTTGAACATGTCAATAGTTATCTCCTTTTGCAAAATCATACGCACAGGCAATGTTAATCTGGTCAAATTCATCGGCAAATGAAACAGGTTACATTTGATAGTTGCATTGAGTCCAACTTGAGCAGGAATTGAAATATAAAGAAATATTCTTTGGTCATAATTAAGGCTTACCTATTCATTAAACATATTTAGAATTGAGGAGTGTTCGCCTGCATTTAGTAGAGTCATAAAGCATATTTAATTATTTATTGTTTTAAGTAAATTATTATCAAATATCATTTCGTAAATATATCTGAAACATAACGTCGGAATTAAATTGCGTCCAATAAAATGACCAAAAAAGTTAGGCATCTTTACAGAAACAGTCTTCAAACTTAAAAGAGTTATACCATGACACCCAGAGAATCTGCACCACTGTGATGGTATGTTTCGTGATGATGTAAACTATAATATTTCAATTTCTACTTAAGTTGGACTCAATGCATGCAACTACCAAATGTAACCTGTTTCATTTGCCGATGAATTTGACCAGATTAATATTGCCGGTGCGTATGATTTTGCGAAGGGAGATAACAAATATTTCACATTTCTATTGAAGCAACTCAAACAACCAAAAACGATAAATCAGCAAAACATTTTTAGCTCACGGTTGCTAGCGGTTATGACAAGTCATGTACTGCCCTAGAAATTCTCCCTCCAGCTACCAATTCTGTCTTGTGTAAGTAGGCCTAACGTAGATCCACAGGGGTTCGGTACAAATGGCTGAAATACACATATCATACTATAACTGATATGGATCACAGCACACATAATGTATGTTTATGTGTGCTGTGACCCCTATCAATATAGCATTGTGTATAAATGTATGTTTATGTGGCCGAGCCTGTGCACCGCGTCTAGACAGTATTCTTCTGCGATGACGCATCAGAAAATTTGATATCTTATGAATTTATCAATAAAAATTAAATATGACATTTAAAATATGGGTTCGTGTTTTGTTTCTACATAATTTGGCTGTATTGAACTATCAACGTACACATTCATGTTGTATGATGGTCCTTCATTGACGGACTATATTTTTTACATTACGTCAATACAAAAACTTGCACAAGCTCCAGAACATGGGACAAACGATCAGAATGGACTTAACAATTTCCAATTACTGAAAAAAACACGTTGACTGAAATATAAGGCTTGAATCTTGCTTTGGTCTATTTAATGGGGTTAAATTTGTTTCAAGCCCAACTCAATTCATCACCTCATTAAATCGACCAAAGCAAGATTCAATCCTTAAATGAACACGTACATAGTGGTCAACCTGTTGTTAGAAACTAAGAGAAACGCATTTCAAGGACAACTTGACTATCAAGCAACAACGTATACCAATGATATTATATATATGATATATATTTCACAAAATCCATATAGATCACTCTATATGACAGCAGAATAAACAGACGAGGCAAAACAAATACCCAGCAATCTAGTCAGTCAAGAGTAATGTGGTTCGGTCGATACCCCCTTATTCCCTTGGGAGATCCTACAGTGTGGGTGTTCAGACTTACAATAACAGTAATTAGTGTCTAGTATGGTCATTCGTTGCATAAAACAACATTCAATGGTTTGTCTGTGACTCATGTCTCTGATTAGGTTAATTCACTTGAAATAAATGATACTTGTATTCAGAAAACACTAGAAATCACTTACAACAAATCGGAAAACTTAAGCGGAAACAAAAATATCTCAAAGCTAAACGAAAAGATAATGAAAAGAGTAAAAGTTTGTGACCACAGGGAAATTATTCCAGACTACCAGGTGTAACTAATAACAGATTACCAATCACGATTGGAGCGACCATAGAATAAATAGGTTATAAAAGCTACTCTAATTTTTATAAAGCTATAATGATGAATTTTATGAGAGTGAAATGTAGCATGTTGATAAACTGGTAAATACAAAATTCAGACTTGTCTGAGAAAGAAAATAAACAATAGAACTTAAGTACAAAACTATCTTCTAAACGTACAAAGATTACATTGAAGACTTGTCTGTATATAAAGCAGTCATTTGAACTGAGGAAGAACCCAGTGGTGTATCATCTGCCTCATATGATATTGTACATTCTTATGGGATTGTTGTTTTCGGTAATGTACATATTGCCATCAAATTGATTTATTAAAAAGGGCAAATAACATTAAAAGTATAGTTTATGACGTCACAACATCTACTTCAAATAAACAGTCTGAAGAATCTCCAAGAAGAGATGAAAGTACTAAAGGCACGTTGTTGAGAAGTTGTCTTTTTATAATATTTCTTCGTCCGTAAGGATCATTTTTCTGCTTTTATAATATATATATATACCACAGTATCGACACACAATGACAAAATGGAATCTCATAGTAGTTCATACCAATATTTTTTTAAATGAAGAATTGTGCTAACGCTTTACAAAATACCGCACAAATCATGTTTTTAACGATTAATTAGCACACCTTCACTCATATAACTTACCTTTTTATACTCAGAATAAATTATCTATGTATACATTTGACGGTTCCTGTTGTGTCCCTTTCACCAGATATCTGTTTCACTTCGATTAACGTATTTAGATGTAGTTGTTTCTGATGGATTTACTGTTCATTACAACAGATTTCCAAGTACAAGCTACTGGTGTTAGAGCAGAAAGACAGACATCAGAACCAGAGAGAGGAGAGGGACGGCGACACATCCGAACACAGCAGGTACGAACAAATTACCTGGTAGAGCAACTAGGATAGCATATTCCAGAAAAAATAGTTTTGTTACATCATGTTATCCCTTGTTGAATAGCACAGCAGCAATCGTTGCTGTAGCACGTTACGTTCACATACATTCAAAATGTCTAAAAAATTACTGATGACATCATAAAGAAATCCCTTATGTTTGTGGTTCAAGTTTCCCGATGTAATTTGACGTCTTTCCGGTTCCATATTTGTCTTCCGAGTTTTGACTTGAAAATTGTGTGTGCTATACCTATAACCTCACGTCAGTCCAACTCCTACGGGGCTCCGTTTCAATTAAGAATACGTTACTGTTGTATCTTTATGATGGATCAGCGATATCACCAAATTGAACTGCTGACATTACCTTCTTATCGAATCCGTATAAATCCCCAATGGCCGCTCAACAGATAAATGACCAATACTCATGGATCATGAGGAATATTGCGTAGTATTAAAATGTATTATGGCTATGTCACCAATTCAGTTTTATATCACCATACAAGTTGGGTTATATATTTATACAGTGAATAGGATAATATCTGAAATTTGTCACCAAATTGAACTGCCGACATTACCTACTCATCAAATTCGTATAAATCCCCAATGGCTGTTCCACAGTCAGCTATAGAACTGAGGGGACAAATGACCAATACTCAAGCATCACGAGGAGTATTGCGTAGTATTAAAATGTATTATGGTTTTATCACCTATTCAGGTTTATATCACCATAAAAGTTCGGTTGTTTAGTGAAAAGGTGATATCACCATGATAACCTAATATATCAAGAGTTGGTGAACGGAACCCCATACACTTCATTGTTTTATCAATTTCACCATTTTTTTGGCAACATAACTATATAAGAAATACTCAGACCATATTTACCTGAAAGGAATATTATTTTCTGTTCAGGGCCATTGATCCAATCTCAAGATAACTGTATCTAGGATATCTCTGATCGCTCTACTTCTCTTGCATTTTGAAGAATTATGTACAATATTCCTCCAGTTTATGTTTCGATTTTTTTCTTGGAACATATGACTTGTTGGTGTTAGTAACATGTTTTGTTCCTTGTAGTCTGTCCAGGACGGTGTCCGCCGAGTCTGGAGACCGGGCCTGGGAGGACATGCTGTCCCTTCTACAGGTCGACATGGATTTTCTCAGTCGGAAACAGGCAGTCCTGGACAAGGAACAACAGATGTTGGACAAGGAGGAGTCCCTAGCACAACGGCAGAAAGATCTAGAGGAGTATGAAAAGGAGGTAGGTGGATTAGTCCTCGTCACATCGATAGAAACTAGAGTACATCCTAGAGGACATCGATAGAAACATCGATAGAAACTAGAGTACATCGAAGCGAATTACTTTGACCTCACTTAATCATTGTTTACACGATACAATGTGTTGGCCCTTGCAGGTTAAGAGAAAAAATAGACCTGCTTTATTTTACTGCATGGTTAATCGTATGAGGCGACTAATGTGTGTGGCCCTGCAGAATCGGAGGGTTTTCCTTTGCTAAGTGGACAGTGGATACCAGGATTGACTCGCTGACCCCATTGCTGCAACTCTTGGGACCCGTCTCTTTTGTCTGCTACGTTTTATTTCTTTTCGGCGTCGTCTGCATCGGCGCCAGTCTTTATTTGACCTTAGTTATTGTGAGGATGTGACACACTGAACAGAACAAACGGTTTGCTGATATATAATTACATGTTGATTATTACTCCATCAGCAGACACACCTTTTGCATAAATCAATGTGATGTTTCTTGATTAAAACTCGAGCACGTCATCGACTAGATGACGTCAACGTTTTCAAATCTCCTCAGGACACAAAGACGTTCACATGACCTTTTATTGAATTGCAAACTACGTATTTCAGCACCAAGCACTCGGAGGGGGCTTAACGTAGACACGAATGTAACTTGCTCCGCGAGTGTTGCCTTAACCGAGATGTTTACGTAATTTAGTGGAATATTTGACTTTGGGTTTCCAGGCGACAGTAGGTGTTTCGCTCATAGTATTGATGTAAATATAATTTTGACGTATGAACATCATATGGTAACAAATCTGTTAATCAATAAAACATGTTTCTCTCGCTATTTCCCACCAGATCAACGAGATAGAACGGATGTTGGACAGACGACAGAACTTGTCTAATAAGCGCCAGAGGGACCTAGCTTGTCTGGATGACGTACGTTTTAAACCAGTAAAAGTATTCTTGTAAAACATGTCATGTGCTAGAAAATGACAAGGTTAAATTGAAAACAAGGTTGTTGACAGACTCAGTGTCAACATTCCACTTTTGCTCTATTGACGTATTACTAGTAAAAGAACATTTCTCTTTAAATCATTATAATCATTTGAGAGTTTTAATATCATACCATGTCATATCTAAGAAAAAACGATATACCACAACGTCATCATACACAATATGCTATAGAGTACCATTACAAATACTAGTAGGTTTTAGCTTTACTATATACCACTGGGTCAAAACACAAAATCGTAACGCATTTTCGATTGACGAGTAACATATTAAACCGCCAACGATTTTAACGGCCCTTATGCTTTTGAATCTCATTAATATCGACACATTAGTTTTAGACATATGAAGTCATGAATAAAAAATACTACCGAGTTAGGATCCCTACATCATCCCGCCAAACATTTTTTCGGTATGACTATAATTATGTCCGAAAAGAAACACCCATACCTTGTGGGTTTTTTTCTAAAAAAAGAAATTGAATTGGAACGTTTCTCATTTGAGAGAGCAAGGCTTTACTGAGTACACTTATTTGTCTACACACAGGAGCTTCTGGTTCTGAAGAGCGATATCAACACAGCCAAAGACGAGTTGGAGAACAAAGGAATCGACACAGAGGTGGCTTCTGAGCGGGCCAGACACAACTGGTACGTACATTTGATGTGCGTTTTTGTATCCTTTTATCTAGATAAGCTGACGTAGTCTCTGAACGAAAAGTGGAAGAAATACTCTATAAAAATGCTACTTCATGCCGTGTTATTTTAGACTGCACACAGTCGTGATTTAAGTGTTAATTTCTGTACTACACACAGCTCATTTCAAGTAGTTATTTCATATACTGTTTCAAGCTGAGACTTAGGGTAGAGCTATATATATATATAGGGTAGAGCTATGGGTCAAAGGTTAGAGCTATATATATATAGGGTAGAGTTATATATATATAGTACACAACAAATTACTTGTAGAAAATTATATCCAACATTGTTGAAGACGCGGACTAATTTTATCATAAAAATATTACCGTTGTAAAAAAAAAACGCCAAAAAACTTGGGATACAGTATTGTAAACAAGAATTACCCCGTATACAGTATTAGATTGTTCTGAACTAAAAGGATAGTTTTGTTTTTACTGGAATGAACACAACTGGTTCGATGTCTTAAGACTCCTGTGCTTATCAATTCCGTCAAGAACTTTTAGGGACATTTTATAGGCCAAAATGTACAAAATTATCATGGTGCAAGCGGTATTCCTAAAAAATTAAAAACGAAACAAAACAAAAAAACGTGAAAGTCTCTGATAATCTCCACATATTATGGTTAATGTTTTGTATTTGTGGATAGTAAATGCTGTGCGAAAGTGTGAGTATGGATATTCTCGAAAATTTCGTTTGTTATTTTTCAACATTCACTTGTATCAGTGTCAATTATCTCAAAAATATGTATCTTCCACAGACGTGTTGAAGAAGTACCCCAAATGAATGTCAAGTTTTGTCATGCTTTTATAGGAATTATCTTATTGAATCCCATTTCCACAGTACATATGTATCTATTTTATTTTGTGCACAATGTAGTTTCAATTTAATTTTAAATCAATTCACGTTTGTCGTTTTCCCCATTGTAAATATGTTACTTTTAAGAGATTTATTTATCTTTGTTATCCATATATATAATTGTAATACCTATATAAATTTGCACCTATGAATTGTAAAATGATTCATTCCATTACTTTGCTTATTCTTTTCGCAAACTGCTTTCTAGATACCTTCCCTAAATGTCGATAAATCTTTCAAATATAGTACATTCTCTCATGTTGGCAATGCTCAATCCAAGTTTACAGGTGAGTTAAAAAAATATGGGCAAAAAGTTCCCAATTTCAATGGATTGTCCCTTTTAGACAATATGTTTTCAGTACCTATGGATTGTCACCAAACGGTTGCATGTATGCAATAAACTACGGCCCGGTCCAAATTAAGTGTTTGGCTGTATATTTATATTTCAAAGTCAACATCAAAATGATTGGAAATTTGCTGATAGGGCAATTCCTCGACCACGATTATGATTAGTTGATATTTTCTAGACATGCAATGTATACCAGTGGACAACTCCAATAATTTGCTTGTGGTTCGTAAGTACTCGACCAATATTTACTCGTTTTACAATAGACTGATGTACGACTGTATGTGTATGTAAACATTATCCAAAGTGACCTTGCTTAATATACTAAACTCTAAATTTCTCAAAAATTTCTGAGGCGTTCTTAAAACATGTAATATTGTTGTGCCGTTAGATTAGTACCTGCATCATTCGATAACGTGATTTTTTTTTCTAATTCGAAAAATCATGGTCGTTTAGAATCTATTTAAGTATATTGTTACCAAGTGAATGCATGCTCATTGTTGTTGGTTGTCTTCCAGGGACATTGTACGGAAGAACCTGTTCGAAAAGCAAACATTTCTGGAGAACACGGTACAGAAGTACCGGACCGATCTGGCCACGGCTCAGTCCAACATTACCAGCAAAGACATCCTCCTGGTCAAACAACAGCAAGAGGTACCCTAAAATAATCTGGGCAATGGTTTAGTGAGCAAAACACTATAAAGCTATTTTCAATATCTAATACTCTGAAGTATACCTGCGCAGTATATGCAAGAATCAATGGGGTTTTGAAGCACCAAAAAAGACCTAAAGCCTTTTGGGCAATGTTTGATAATACACAAAACACTATGAAATAGTTTACAGCATCTCAAACTTTTGAATTTTGAGAAGCGTTTTACAATACTGTAGATATTAGTCTCCAAACAGATCTAATTTTTAATACAAGCAAATTTAAAGCCAAGTTACGAGAATGTTCCTTTCAGTAAAGGCACTGTCTCTAGATTCTCTTCCTGAAAGTCTTCCAGACAGCATTTTTAACACAAGAAAAGCAGCAGTTACAAAGAGCTAGCAGTTCAGACAAAAACGACATCAATAGATATATCATTTCAGTATAATTTAATATAAAATAAACAAATATAGTGAAGCAGCACTATGTAAGGCATAACAATAGGAACAAGTTTATAATAAAATATAAAAGGTTCTCCTTGTTTAAAGGTTTGTAATGTTTTTAGATGAACATTAGTCCACATCAGTACTACACTGTAAATGGCATACAATCGCTGAGCCAACTCACATCAATACAGAAGTATTTCGGGAATAGTTAAATGAATGAATATGCTACAAAGTTTACGTAATCCAGTATCTTCATTTATTTTATAATAAAGGTACAAAATTATATATAAATCATTGTCTTATTTGAATAATGTCATCACTATGGCCGCAACTTGAGGATGAAACAAATTTGTTTAACGTCCTATATACCTCAACTCTAAACAATTTATTTTTCAGATTGCTGATTTAAAGGATGAGGTAGACAAAAAAACTGTTAAAATGCACCAGTTAGAAACACAGTTGACGTTTACACTGGAAGAAGCCAGATGTTTAGAGAAAAAATTCCATCAAATGTTACTTCAGAGTGAGTCTTCTCTCATCTTAAACAATAACCTCCTTGAGCCGAGTCCATCAACAACTCCACAAAAACGTTTGTTAAAGCGAGAATCATCAAGGTCACTGCTACACCGCGAGTCTCATTCTCCAAGTTCAACAGATCGACATCGATCGGAGGACACAAAGGCTACCAACTCTAACAGAGTGGTGCGACATCACCCAGACTCTACTCAAAATAACTTCGAATCTGAACAGGATGCCAGGTCTGCAATTCTGAGCGGCAAAAGTGCGTCATGTGTTGTTATGTAGTATAACGAGGAGTTAGTAAAATTCCTCTTGCATCACTTCTTGACGAATTGCCAAATGTTCTATAACTTTATCTTAAAACCAAGTTTATATTTGATGACTATTTCAAGACAAAAGTGCCTAATATAGGTAGCTACCAGCACATTGTTAATATTTTGTTTTAGGCATTATATTTATATTTATATTATATTCTATTAAAGCTACAGCACAGTGAGACTGAGTGAGAAAGTGAGAGAGGAAATAAAAGGTGTATGAAAATAAAGAAATTATGAATGAAAAGTACAGATGAAAATCATGGAGTCATTATTCAGCTGGGAGGAAAATGATCCGTTTGAATACTGTTTTATACAATGGACGACAAACACCTGGATGTATGTAGCTATTGCTTGTTTAGATCAGATCTTGTGACAGGGTAACGATGCTTACGACAAACACCTGGATGTATGTAGCTATTGCTTGTTTAGATGAGATCTTGTGACAGAGTAACGATGCTTTGAAAGGTGGACTGATCTAGACCAAAGTTGAGAAGGTGTTTGGCGTTTTCTAGTAATCCCACAGCATCCTCCGACAAGTAGGCCTGAAAAAATGAAGAAATTATTGATATCAATGATAATATATCATACCAATAATATGCAAATCAAATATAATTCAATTTGAATGTAATGTGATATATTCTTCAATATCAGTAATTTTTTTAACCACAGATTAAATTTTTTTAAATTAAATTGACAGAAAGTTAGTCTTTCCCGACTGTTTTCTTTCTTTTAAAAATACTAAATGCCCGTAACAAGGATAAGATATCACATATATTCTGTAACTTAATCTGACAATATCAACGGGGACTAATCACATTTTTTTTTTTAAATATTTGCCATGTGCTGTAAAACAAGTGAGCGATTCAGTCATGTTAACAGTATATAACAAATGTCCATATTTGGTAATGGATAAGTTAGTGACACAGTATATTATCAACCATGCTAACCTTGATATGGTCCTGATGTAAATGTTTGGCCAGCAGCAGGCAGCCGAGTGCACAGGATGGCATTTCCAGCTTCTGGTAATGTCTGGACAAGGACAACAAGTCGATGTCTATCAACACTGGGCAACTGTGAATAAATTGATATACAGTTACTGTGGGTACAATGATTTAGGGTTACTGTGGGTACAATGATTTAGGGNACAATGATTTAGGGTTACTGTGGGTACAATGATTTAGTGTTACCGTGGGTACAATGATTTAGTGTTACTGTGGGCACAATGATTTAGGGTTACTGTGGGTACAATGATTTAGGGTTACTGTGGGTACAATAATTAAGGGTCACTGTGGGAACAATGATTAAGTGTTAATGTGGGTACAATGATTTA